AACTCACCTAACTAACGGAAAGTCGGCATGTTTACTCATGGACATCAACAAGGCTTTTGATAGTGTCTGGCATACGGGCTTACTATACAAACTATACAAACTCCACACACCACCATATCTACTACACACCATAAAGAACTTACTACAAAACAGACAACTACAAGTTCGAATTGACAATACACTCTCCTTGATTGATGAAATTTTTTTGAAAATAAAAATGCCTCATAATTATTATAAAATATAACAGGCACGTAGTCTTAATGTTCTCGACATTTAAATACATAATCAATACAATAATGTCAATTTCGAGCCACCCTGCATAAATCTAATTGAAATGCTGCTACTTGAATCGTTACGTGATTACTTTTGTGTAAGATCTCCTCTTTCCGTGACAGACTATTAAAAAAAAACGAGTTTTTTATGAAATACGTGCATTGAAGCTCTATCGATTGCAAGATTTTAATGATGAGCTACTATAGAAATATGTGTAAACTGTATTGGTTTAGGTGTGGGCGAACATATCTATAGATACATTTTTGTGCAATAACTCAGTAGCTGCTTTCAACATAAATTCCAATACTTTTAAATACCATCAACTTTCTGCAATAGTCGGAAGTGGAAAGAGTCCAATATTTCAAAAACATGCTAACCATGTGTTTAAAGGTAAATCTAAAAAAAAAACATTAAAATAATTATACTTTTGAATTTCTGTGTAGAAAACACCTGTAGATTTACGATTTTCGTTTTAATATAATTTGGCTTTTGTGGATTATTTATGTTCACTTGTTCACATGTGCTTTTCAAGTTCTGATCCGATCTCGATTTGGAGCATTTTCTATATCCAGACACTGCAATTGTATGAAAATTTCCTAGCAAGCACCAACCAAACTAGCCATTAAAAATGCAAAACAAAAATACTGTCCTAACGGACTGAAAAAATACAATTCCACCCTCGCAATAAAATAGTTTGGTGATTTGTAGTTTTGCAAATTGCCTGAAATACTGATAAATCTACGTTGTTACTGCTATTTTGCAGGATCGACATTTACTAATGGATCAATCTCGAGAACAAATCCTCTCAAGCAATGCTCGAAATTATTTTTGTCTGCGCTTAACTTCCCGAACGAATTTTAGTAAAATTGATATTTGAACGACGTTCTTTCAAGCGAAATTTAATGCCTGAAGAGCCTTTTTAAAAGTAATTGTTTGAACTAAATTCAAACTGCGTCAATTGATCATGAAGATAAAAGTGAAGAAAAAAGATCGTTTAGCCGTGTTCAGAGTTTGGCCAAGATATTTCTCGTTGTGAGTTTTCATTTAATCCAAGCCCCCGACGTTCAGTGAATTATAAAAATTTATTGAAACCAGAATAAAGCGGGCTGAAGTTATATGTAGTAAGTAGTACAACAAGGTGATCATAATATGAGAATTAATAAATATTTAGTTTACGGGAGTTACGTTAAAGTAACTGTTTTAAATTCTCTATTATAACTTTAACTATAACTAAGTAAAACTAACAAACAAAATCACATAGAACTGAAAATCAAAATATTTTAAGAAATACATGCAATTTACGAAACATATTTGGTTTTTATTTTGGTTGCATAAAGTTAATGAAATACTAAAATGGTAAAATTATGTAAGAAAATTACAGATTTAAATTTTACAACTGCATAGAGATATATTTTAAGTTACTATTTTCGAAATCGCCTTCCTCTCTGATAGCATCTGCGTGAATACAAATGAGTGAAAAAAATTTGTTGTTCTTTGAGAATAGGACATGAATAAATATTTAAATAAACAGTACCATTGTTTAAAAATGCGATAATTTGCAGCATAACTATCAGGGACCGTTTATTTTAATTCAACAAAATATATAGGTACTACATATATAGGTATACAGTTGTCTAGAAAATTGGGAACATATGAACATAATTTTGTGTGCTGTTCTAGAGTACTTCTTTGTAAAAATGATTGATTGAACCACAACAATTTACAGCAACTTTGCAAGATCAAACCATCAAGAATAGTCACTATTATTTTACTAACTACAAATTTACAATAGTCGAGATCGATCTATAAAATCCAAATAACGAGCTATTGTCAAGCCAGTAAAACTGATCAGACCGAATTACAAACCCAGGGCAAACATTTGCCTGGAATAAAAATATAATTAGTATATGATCACCGTGCCACTGTTTAAATGTGGATTTAAATCAGTTTTTGATGAGAGTTTATTACCTGAAATTTTCTGAGCAAGAATGACATTATAAATTAATTAAAACCAATACCAAAGAAGAGTATAGTTAAATCTATCATCATCAATAGTTAAAAATTGGTGAACCCATACGTACAACACWCCCGGAAATTGAGATTTCCAATACCAATAGATAAAGATAGAAATGATATCGAAATATGTAGGATTTTCATCGGTACTTACTCGAGTATTATTCCTTTCCGCTTTCAGTTCCGCTATTTCCTCTTCCCGTTCTAAAAGCTGCTCCCTCGCTGAGTTTAGTTCCTTCGTGAGGGTTGCGAATTCCTGTAATAGAGAGAAAAAGTCAATAAACGGGCACTATATATACCGTTATAGAGGAAGTATACTAAGCATTTATGAATCCTACCGATGTTTATTGGCAAGTTTATTGATAGAAATGAGAGAATAATAAAAAGAAAAACGAGAAAATTGAACTATAGTAAAAGTCTATTTGCCATGTATTTTTAGGAGACATTTAATGGTAATTGAAACAAATGATGGTTGTTATTAGATGCATGTTAAATTAGATTAATTAGTTACTTATTCTAGCTTGTACAATACATGCATTTTTCATTTTAGATTTCCATATTGCTACAAATAAAGAGAGCATTTTCTTTGGTCACTTCACACACTATCAACTGTTCGAATCGCTTGCGTGTGCTTTCTTTCATGAATTAAACGAAAATATTTTCAAATCCGCATTTTCAATCCAGCATTACATGAAAACCTTGCTCAAAGACTCAAGTGAGTTAAATATTCAACGTCTTGAAAACGCTATGTTTTTAATAACTTTGTAACATCACTAGGAGCACCTGTTTGTTCAACCTGCAAACTTAATCAAAATTCATTCAACCCGGTCTCAAATTTAAATTATTCAATCTTCGGAGGGGTTTCACCATAGTTACGCATTCCATTACGGCCCCATAATTAACAGGGGAGATTATATTACTTTAAATTACCTAAGGCTATTTCGACTGACAAGTGCTTTCTACCCTTTATGCAACTTTATATTGCCAATAACGAGATTTTTGCACCCGCTTGATTCAATCGAATTCATCAAATCCATTATGTGAAAATACCAATTTTAGCATTTTAAAAGCAATTTATTCTAGATTATTATAAATTAACTACGTAAACTGCTAAACAAATTAACAACTAAAATAAATCGGTTTAAAGCAATTTGGGACTTGAGTTCATGGCTTAACCACTTTGTCTAAAGAACCTCTTTATTACCCCCCTTAGTGGTGCATTGTGTTAATAATAGAATAACATAAATATTTCCATGAAATTATTACAGCAAATGATACCAAAATAATCTCCATAAACACACAAACAAAAAGTACAAATTTCTGAAGATCTTAACAAATTTGTGGCCAACGTGGCTCGTATAAATTTTCGAAGGATTAAAATAGGCACAAATAAATACATTTAAATATAACATAAACATTTCAGTTGGTCTTTGCACCTAGAAAAATTAAAATCCAGGTTTAAGCCTGTTAGCAATAGAACAGTTAATAAACAGGGGCATAACAACAAATATTGATGATTTGCAATGGAACACAAATAACTTGATGGAATGCTTTATCGGTATGAAATTAATTACTCCCAAGAGAAATCAGCCCCGCTATTTGGGAGTGGAAAAACATAGAGTCCAACTTTCTGAATGTGTACACAACTCGACTGAAACAATAATTACATTTTGCACTTAATCACGTTATAACCAGTTTGTTTGTTATACAGAGTGATTCATTTAGAAAGGAAAGTCTGAATATCACCTGATGAATATTGGCTCAAAAATATGTCATCCGAAATGGGCTGCAGTACATTTAAAATGCCGAGTTCTTCGTAGGAAAAGTCCACCAGCTTTAAGCTCAAAGGATCTGCCTTGGCGTTCACATTTTGCTCATTTTATTTGGTAGAGCAAACCAAACCACCAGCTCTTCCTTCCACCGCTCTTCGGCGTGTGTCTTCACACGAAAAAAACGTTATCATGATAATCAATAACAAAAAATATATCTAATAAACGACATATCATTATTAGAAGATATTACTTAAGATAACACTTTTCACCAATTTTCCCGCCTGTAGCTTAGATGTTTTCAAATTGTTCACATTTTGCTCATTTTATTTGGTACAGCAAACCAAACCATCAGCTCTTCCTTCCACCGCTCTTCGGCGTGTGTCTTCACACGAAAAAAACGTTATCATGATAATCAATAACAAAAAATATATCTAATAAACGACATATCATTATTAGAAGATATTACTTAAGATAACACTTTTCACCAATTTTCCCGCCTGTAGCTTAGATGTTTTCAAATTGACAAAAAACGCACTAAATTTTCAACGAGTTTCGTTGTAAAACATGTGGATAATAATCAAAACCGATAAAGCAAAACACACAACACATAATACAGAGACGAGATTGAGTGAGTGACAACATCATCTCAATGAGCAAAGAAAATAAGTCCTTAGAATTGAGTTAAAACATAAATTTTCAAACCTTTGTAGGTGAAACGTGCAGTCAGAGATACGATAGACATACATTATAGCATACAAAAGCAGCGATTTAAATCAAAGCAAAATATCATCAATAGAAGCAAAGTTTTCCAACAAACTTTTTGGCCAAAGAGGAAAATCACATTTTACAGCGAAATTAAAAGGAGAAAACTAATGTCCTCTTATTGCACGGTTCGAAACCAGATTTCTAATCCCTTAAAATTGCCATTAGTTTTGCTTTAATAGCAAGACATTTTTCTGCAAAGAAGAGTTAATACTCGAACAAAACCAGCCCTTAGATTTATTTATGACTGCCTGCTGGTGGAAGAACGGCCACCATAAATTCGAGGATTACTTCGCCTAGTCACGAAATATAAATTATTTTTTGATATTAATTGGTGTAGTCAGTTTAAATCTTAATAAACCCGGCCGAGATTAACATATTTTGGCAAGGCTGCAAGGAAAGTTTTACTTTATACTACTTCTGATTTAAAACCGGAAAATAAAAGCAATCAACTTTTAGTAGATCGTCACTTTTATTTGTGTATGCAATGATTGTGGCATTGATTGCAGTTACTCAAACTCACTTTATTTAAAACAAATTGCGTTTTAGCGTTCTCTAGGGCACATATTTCTTTTAATATCAGCTACTGCTCCTAGAAAAGTTAGATTAGAGACAGCATTAGCAATGAGCGAAGATTTATGACTAGTCCAAAGGGCGCATTAAACTATGACGGCGATACGCGTGAGAATGCTAAACTGCTTTATTGTAAAACGAGCATTATCAAATGGCTTTTTCCTCAAAACGTTTTTCAAGCAAGAAGACGAGATCCAATTTCGCCTATAATTGAACTGAATAAAACGGACATTTCTAACGATTAAAAGGCGTTAAAATTAATTAAATTTATCGCGGAAAAAGGAGTGTGATTTGCCTAAAAATTATATCACACGTTCCTGTCCAAATGGAACAAAGAAGTTAAATTTTCAGAGTTATTGGAACTTGCTACAAACATCAGTCTGCACATAGGTATTGAGACTTGACTTTAAACCTTTGAATAGAAAAACTCTTGAGAAAATAGTTTCGAGTTTTTCAAGCCCCGAGTGAAAAAGTCCTCGAAATCCGGCATGTGGCTTAAATATGAAAAGCCGGAAAGCTATTTCCCACTTGCCAGTTTGGGATCATAATACTTCCATTGATATTCGATTGTCATCAGCCACGCAAAAAACTGAAGCACTCAATTCAACCACCAGTTATTTTACAACTAGTAAATGCAAAAGTCTTTTAGAAACAATGAGTCGAGCATAATTTTCAATATTTCACCCGGTCCATTCGTTAATGCACTTAAGCTGTCGAACTGAAACTCATTTATCAACGGTTTTTGAGTCTTTTATATTATTCTTCTGTGCCTAGATTACTGCGCGTTAAAGACAGATGGTTCGCTGCGAATTTCCTATTTTCCTCTAAGCAGATTATTATGTTCGAATATGTAATCAGTATCAGTTTCAGATTTAATACAGTATTTTCGAGATGATAAATTACTTCGCTTAAAAAGGGGACTTCTTAATAGTTTATCGTTGAATGAACATGACATGAAACGTGAGTAATTAAATCAAAAACATTGCAATATAATAGATATAAATAAAAAAATCTATGAAAATAATACCATACAAAGGATTTAGGATTACCCTTCACTAATATGGATTATATTCTTCTTATAACGGATGGTATGGAGGTTTTTTACTTACTGGGCTTTCTTATGGTCTGTTCAGTATTACCATTGCAATAAAATTACAGGACGGTTTTTAAGTATAAATATCGAAGTGTGCCAGCAACGAAAGAACCGAAATCATGTTTACTGTAACATAATGGAGGATATTATTAAGAGTTTGATTAATGCACTACCGCCTTCCAAGTTTTTTATAGCACACGTAGGGTTGCCACATTTCATCGAAAAACATTTGCCATAAGCCTTGTTCATTAATACATTAATGGCGACCTCAAAAGACGAGTCGGTTGGTATTTAAAAATTATCGTATTTGATTTAAGCCACTTTTGCATTCGCATTTCCATGCAATTTAGTTCCGTATCAAGCAAATTATTTTTGAATCCATGTTCGCGTTTTCCATGTACCATGAAGAGTTAAATTGGGTTGGCTGCTTTAAATGCGAAAAAAACAGTGTCCAGTTGCACAATTGAACTTCATGGAGTTCCACAACAAAAGGAAAATATGTGACAAGGATTTCCATTTGCATTTGCATCTGAATTGTCAATCAGTCAGCAGATTCTTTATTTATTATTTATTGTCACACGCGTTTAAACATGCTTCGTGCATAATTTTCCATAAAGTAAAATCCCACTATTATTCACATTTTCAGCCGACTTTGTTAGATATACCCAGAACAAAACAAAACTGAGACGAATATTGGAAACGGTAGACAGAAAAAATATCACCGTTGGGAATAAGTTGAGGTTTAATTTGCGAGACAGGAGCTGGTCTTAATTTGGAGTATGTACATTTGGGAATAATGAAATATCAGCCAGTTTGCTAATCAAATTTTGAGTAACGAAACATCGATCGGCCTGAAAATGGTGAAGACATGCAAAGTAATAAAATAAACCTACTTTGTGCAATTAATTTAAAAAAACCACGTAGCCATTGATTTATGTAAATTATTTGATTTCTGTGATTTTCTGCAAAACAATTACTAAAACTGAACCTTTTGTTAGTCAAAAAAACGTGAACAAATAAGCGAAAACCAACTACATCTTAATTCGGTTAGAAAAA